AATGAGCTAAAGATTTACGGAGATTTGTTATATAATATATAATAAATAATAGAGGTGGAAACTACTGGAGGGGTCCATCTGGTGTGCACGGGCCACCAGGGTGCGCTAGGCCCTCCCTGGTGCGCCCAGGTGGGAGATGCCCACCTCGGCCCACTTCCGAAGCCCCCCTTCTGGTACATAAGTGATTTGGACCTAAAATAATCGGGGAGAGGACTTTCGAGACGAAACGGCGCCGTCTCGAGAAAGAACTTGCGCAGGAGCACTTTTGCCCTCCGGCGGAGCGATTTCACCGGGGGAACTTCCCTTTCGAAGGGGGAAATCATCGCCATCGTCATCACCAACAACCCTCTCATCTTGGGGAGGGAAATCTTCATCAACAACTTCACCAGCACCATCTCCTCTCATACCCTAGTTCATCGCTTGTGTCAAATCTTTGTACCAGAAGCTCAGATTGGTACCTGTGGGGGACTAGCTAGTAGTGTTGACTGCATCTTGTAGTTAATCATTATATGGTTTATTTGGTGGAAGATTATATGTTCAGATCCATTATACTATTCATTACCCCTCTGATCATGAGCATGTTTATCGCTTTTCAGTAGTTACCTTTGTTCTTGAGGCCACGGGAGAAATCTAGTTGCAAATAATCATGTGAATTTGATATGTGTTTGATAATTTGATGATGTGTATGTTGTGATTCCCTTAGCGATGTTATGTGAACGTCGACTACATGACACTTCACCATATTTGGGCCTAAGGGGATGCATTATGGAGTAGTAATTAGATGATGGGTTGCTAAAGTGACAGAAGCTTAAACCCTAGTTTATGCGCTATTTCGTAAGGGACCGATTTGGATCTAAATGTTTAATGCAATGGTTAGATTTTATCTTAATACTTTTCTCGTAGTTGCGGATGCTTGTGAGGGGGTTAATCATAAGTAGGAGGTTTGTTCAAGTAAGAACAACACCTAAGAACCGATCCACCCACATACTAAACTATCAAAGTAGCAAACATGAATCAAACCAACATGATAAAAGTGACTAGATGAAATTCCCGTGTGCCCTCAAGAACGCTTTGCCTATTATAAGAAACCGTTTTGGCCTGTCCTTTGCCTCAAAAGGATTGAGCTACCTTGCTGCACATTATTTACTGTTACCGTTACTTGCTCGTTACAAAATTGCCTTGCTATCAAACTACTCATTATCTACAATTTCACTGCCTGCAGAAATTACCTTGCTGAAAACCGCTTGTCATTTCCTTCTGCTCCTCATTGGGTTCGACACTCTAACTTATCGAAAGGACTAGGATTGATCCCGTATACTTGTGGGTCATCAAGACTCTTTTCTAGCGTCGTTGCCGGGGAGTGAAGCACTCTTGGTAAGTGGAAATTGGTAAGGAAAAATTATTACTACATGCTGAAATTTATTGTTACTTGTTACTATGGAGAATCATCCTTTGAAGGCCTTGTTCTGGGTCTCTTCACCTTGATCGGAAGCATAATTAATTATTGGACCTACGAAAAATATTTGCTACGAAATTCCTTCGGGTATGATAGGACAACTGCTAGCTAATCCTTATGCAGGAGATGGAACTGAACATCCTGATATGCACTTTATAGATGTGGATGAAATTTGTGGGTTATTCAAGCTTGCAGGTTCTCCCGGAGATGAAGTTAAGAAGTTTTTCCCTTTATCTTTGAAGGGAAAAGCATTGGCATGGTATAGGGTATGTGATGATATTGGATCTTGGAATTGGAACCGATTGAAAATGGAATTCCATCAAAAGTTTTATCTTATGCAGGGGAAGGAACAATACATCCTGATATGCATGGAACTACAACTGATTGAAGGAGAAGAAATTGACATGGTATAGGCTATATGATGATATTGGATCATGGAACTACAACCGATTGAAATTAGAATTTCATCAAAAGTTTTATCCTATGCATCTAGTTCATCATGATCGGAATCATATATATAATTTTTGGCCTCGTGGAGGAAAAAGTATCGCTGAAGCTTGGGGAAGGTTTAAGTCAATGTTATATTCATGCCCCAATCATGAGCTCTCAAGAGAAATTATTATTCAGAATTTTTATGCTCGGCTTTCTCATGATAATCAATCAATGTTGGATACTTCTTGTACCGGTTCTTATATGAAGAAGACTATTGAATTCAAGTGGGATCGCTTCGAAAGAATTAAACGCAACTCTGAAGATTGGGACCTCGATGAAGGTAACGAGTCAGGTATTAAGCTTAAGTATGATTGTCTTAAATCTTTTATGAATACCAATGTTTTTCAAGAATTTAGCACTAAATATGGACTTGAGTCTGAGATAGTAGCCTCTTTGTGTGAAATCTTTGCTACTCATGTTGAACTCCCTAAGGAGAAGTGGTTTAAATTTCACCCCCCCTATAAACGAAGAAGCGAAAGAACCAAACATAGCTAGAGAAGAAACTATTGCTTACCATGTTGACCCAGTTGTTCCTACTGCTTATATTGAAAAATTATCCTTTCCTGTTAAGACAAAGGAACATGTTGAAGCTTCAACTCTTGTCCCCAAAGGTAATACTAAAGCACATGAACCACCAGAACAAATCAAAGTTGAACCTAGTATTCCTATGGTTAAAGATATCTTGGTAGAAAATGTTGATGTGCATGTTATTTACTTCTGTGATGAACCTGCTAGAATTGCCAAACCAGATAATATAGATAAAAATAGACCAGTTGTTGGCATGCATGTTGTCTCAGTTAAAATAGGAGATCATTGTTATCATGGTTTATGTGATGTTGGTGCTAGCGTAAGTGCTATTCCTTTTACCTTATATCAAGAAATTATGGATGATATAGCACCCGCTGAAATAGAAGACATAGATGTTACTATTAAACTTGCTAATAGAGACACCATCACACCACTTGGGATTGTTAGAGATGTTGAAGTCTTGTGTGGGAAAACGAAATACCCTACTAATTTTCTAGTTCTCGGTTCCCCACAAGATGACTTTTGTCTCATTATATTTGGTAGACCTTTCTTGAACACTGTTAATGCTCAGATTGATTGCAAAAAGGAAACTGTTAATGTGGGCTTTGGTGATGTGTCTCATAATTTTAATTTCTCCAAGTTTAATAGGAAACCCCATAAGAAAGAGTTGCCTAGTAAAGATAAAATAATTGGTCTTGCTTCTATTGCCGTGCCTCCTACTGATCCTTTAGAACAATATTTGTTATACGATGAAAATGATATGCACATGCATGAAAGAAATGAAATAGATAAGATTTTCTTTGAACAACAACCTCTGATTAAACACAATTTGCCTATTGAAACTCTAGGAGGCCCTCCTTCACCTAAAGGTGATCCTGTGTTTAAACTTAAACAATTGCCAGACACTTTGAAATATGCTTATCTTGATGAAAAGAAGATATATCATGTTATTATTAGTGCTAACCTTTCAGAATATGAAGAAGAAAGATTATTGAAAATTGTGAGGAAGCACAGAGCTGCTATTGGATATATTCTTGATGATCTTAAGAGAAATCTAACATCCACTCCAACCTCTTTTTCAATTCATTTGCTTTTCCCTTGAAATCAAAAACTTCTTGCTAATCTTATAGGATTCAAGTGGGCATGACACTTCAATTCTATACTTTTTCTATTCCCGTGTTTTCAAAATCCTGCGAATCAAAGAGGCTCTTAAACATTCTCCACTTTCTTTGTTGTAAAGATGCCCTGAAAATGAAGAACTTGCTGTGCCGTGTGATCTTTAGCTAATCATTGTTTCCATCCACCGCTCTACTGATTGCACACTACCCTGAGGCAGATCATGATGTGGAGAGAAGTGCGTGGTTGTAAACTTGTAATGGACAGATTTTCCAGATGTTCCAACAATTTGTAGTCTTCTCCTTTAGATGATGTTTCGTTATTATGTCAAGTGGATCGAAACTCGTGTACGCACAGTTTCACGGGTACTCCTGTAACCACCATCTGATTTCCTTGATTAACATGCATGTCCTGATCGTCTGCCGAGGCACACGTAGCTTAAACACACAACAAAACGCCAAGAACAGAGGCCTCAGTTGTTTCTATGTGGTCTCCAATCTGCACGATTCTAAACTGGCTGCATGTGCGGAGGAAGTACCTGTAATGTAGAGTAGTACTATATATGAGTATGATTGTTGATGGGACGGAAGATGATATTTAAAAGTCGAGGGAAATGCATCTCGTGAGCACGGGCAAGGGTGTAAGCAGCCGGTTGAGTGGCTCCCTCCATCCACATGTGAACCCGTAGGGCCCAAGCTAGGTTGCCAATCACGGCTCCTCGTCCGCTTCTCCACCCGTCGATCATCTCCATTCATTCCGTCCTTCCTTTTGATGTCGAGTGGTACACCATAACACCAAGAAGACGCTCCCTAGAAATTAAGCTGCTGGCCTATAAATTTGCAAGCTCCCCAACGGCATTAACCACCAGAGTAGAGCCTTCGATCAGTAACCAGCGAGACCAGCAAGCAAGCGAGCCATGGCAGCGACCTCCTCCTCCTCCTACGCCGTCGCGGTCGCTCTTCTCTGCCTGCTCGCCGCCGATGGCTGCTGCGGCTGCCCTGGACCCGCACCTGCCCCCACATCTACACCTACACCTGCCCCCGCTACCCCCAGCCCCAACCCCGTTACACCTCCACCAGCGCCCGCTACCCCCAGCCCAGGCTCCGGCTCCGGCAGCAAAAACGGCTCCTCCGGCGGCTGGTTGGACGCCAGGGCCACCTGGTACGGCGCCCCCGATGGCGCCGGGCCGTCGGACAATGGTGGCGCGTGCGGGTTCGAGAACGTGAACATGCCGCCGTTCAACGCCATGACGTCGTGCGGCAACGAGCCGATCTTCAAGGACGGCAAGGGGTGCGGCTCCTGCTACCAGGTCAGCCGGCATTGCAGTTTAATTGAATGACAGAGACAGTACGTGCTTGTCGGTTTGTTTGTCCAGCTCCAAACTGATGCATTGATCCTGGATTGTTGCATGCAGATAAGGTGCGTGGGCAAGGCTCATCCGGCGTGCTCCGGCGTCCCCGAGACGGTGATCATCACGGACATGAACTACTATCCGGTCGCCCGCTACCACTTCGACCTCAGCGGCACCGCCTTCGGCGCCATGGCCATGGACGGCCGCAACGACGACCTCCGCCAAGCCGGCATCATCGACATGCAGTTCAAGAGGGTGCCGTGCGAGTACCCGGGGCTGTCCGTGACATTCCATGTGGAGAAGGGTTCGAACCCGAACTACCTGGCGATCCTGGTGGAGTACGGGAATGGTGACGGCGACGTGGCACAGGTGGACCTCATGGACGACGGCGAGCCGACGGGGCTCTGGGTTCCGATGAAGCATTCGTGGGGCTCCATCTGGCGCCTGGACACGCGCCGCTCGCTGCACGGGCCCTTCTCGCTGCGTGTCACCAACGGGTCCGGCAGGTCGCTCGTCGCCGACCAGGTCATCCCCGTCAACTGGAAGCCAGACACCGTGTACAGCTCCACCGTCCAGTTCGATGATTGATTGATCACGTCCGCTCATCCCCATAGAAAGCATGCACGCCCATGCATGCATGCATGGATTTATTGTGCCGAGACGTCGCTAGTGACGTCCGGTGTGTGCCCTCGTCGTGTGCTAGCTTCGTATTTTCTCTCTCGTCCGACATGCATACGTGACAACTTTGGTTTGTGGGATCTGGAGGAGGCAGCTGGTCTGTGCGCTATAAATTTCTATTTTTAATTTACACAAGTATGGGTATGGTAGCACCTATCTCTCAAGCAACTATTAATTCGTTTGCGGGATCTGGAGAAGGCGGTTCGTATATATGCAAGCTCTCCCATCCATTTCCCACATCTATAAATGTATGTTTGTACTTTCTACTGTATTACAGACAAATATTGTATTTATGTCACTGGTGTATATGCCTACCAGTCCAAGTACATTCCCCTTTAGTTCGTTTTTTAGTTGCAACATCCTGGGTGTTGAATCTTATAATCTACTCCCTTCGTTCCTAAATATAAGTTTTTTTAGAGATTTCACTATGGACTAGATACGGATCAAAATGAGTGAATCTACACTCTAAAATATGTCCATATACATTCATACGTAGTTTGTAGTGAAATCTCTAAAAAGACTTACATTTAGGAACGGAGGGAGTACTTTGTTTGTAAAGAAATAAAAGAGCGTTTAGATCACTAGGAGTACTAGATACAAATCATAGATGTTCTACCCTAGAATTATCTGGGGCAGCCATCGTCATATAAAATTTATGAAATCACTAACTGAGGGGTAACTCTTGCAAAGGCTACTCTTCTCTCCTTTGGTGGTGCCAGGTGTCGCACTACATGTGCGACGCTTGTCACAATCTGGAAGTTTTGTGTTTTTTCATAGATTTAATTACAAAATATATTTTTCTCTTGAGCCGTGCACCCAAATCACCCGTTGGGTTTCTCACGTCAAGATCTTTGAAACCAAATCACATGTTGATAAGTTTAGACAAACTTTCTTTTCCGCAAAAACTGAAAATCAAAATAAATCTGGAAGAAAAAAGGAAAATAGAAAAAATGAGAAAAAAAATGGAAACAAAAACTAGAAACCGGAAACAAAAAACGGAAACCAGAAGCACGACTATACTTCACGCGGAAGCACATTTCGTGCTTCACTTTTTTGGAAGCACAGTTTTGTGTTTCACGTGGTGCATAATTGTGCTTCACTTTTCGGGAGGCACAATTTGTCCTTGATGCGGAAGCACAACTTGCTTCATGCGGTCCACAACTATGATTTTCATCTTTCTTCGGGCGGCACAATGTGTGCTTCATGTGGATATAGCTGTGTTTTTCACTTTTCAAGAAGCACGGTTTGTGCTTCACGTGGTGCACAACTGTGATTTTCACTTTTCAAGGATGCTCAGTTTGTGCTTCACACGGTGCACAACTCTGTTTCCGATTTTTGTGAAGCACAATTTCTGCTTGACATGGTAAACAAAAAACCTAGAAAATCTAAAAAAAGCACAATCTAAAACTTCAAAAAGAAACAAAAAATGCATATAAATTTTTTTGCTACTATAGGGAGACACCGGTTGTACGCACCACTTGGGGGACGGCAGCCCACCAAATTGCCCGTTGGGATGGCTTCCCAAGCCCCACCTCCCCTGGTTAGTTTCTCCCTAAAATTGATATAAGTGTGACATCACACAAGCAGTGGCTAAACTTCTGGGGGAGTAGCCTAGGCTAGCAACCCATCCCCATCCCCTAGCTAATGGGAAGCTTCTGATATATCCTGTTATATTTGGCCTATATCTAAACTAAAATTA